AACACCCCATTTTATAGTGGAAAAATAGGCTCCAACGGACCAAAACATTTAAGGGGTGATTGGCACAATTTGTGGGATTTGATTAAATTTGGATCTGCTGAAATTCACCCAGACAGCGCTGTCCTAGGCTTGGACATCGCTGTTCTAGGCTTGGTTTTTAAAAATTGGGAAGCAACGGTCATGCCAACAGCGATGTCCAATACCCCTACATCGCTGTTTTGGTGTTGACTTCCAAACAAGGAAAGTTTTAGCCTTAAATTCCTTCCAACGGTCAGGTCCCTACATCGATGTTCATTACTTGAACATCGCTGTTTAGGTCTGACTTTTGAAGATGGAAGTTTGGCCTAACAGCGCTGTTGCTGGGTCAACATCGCTGTCCAAAAACTTTCTGCCAATGCACTGTATTTTTGGCTTAGGTTGGACAGCGCTGTAGGGAAGCCTACATCGCTGTTCCAGAAGTTTCTAGAAATCCAACCTTGGCTCAACAGCGATGTCTAACATCCAACATCGCTGTTGAAAGACTTAACGCCAAACCATGGTTTTCAGCCACCCAAGCCAGACAGCGCTGTTGGTTTCACCAACATCGCTGTTGGGCTGGTTTAGCCAGACCCATGGTTGGTTTAGTCAGCCGTTAGCCGATGTCAAAAATGTAATTCTCCAAAATAAAAACCAAGTATTGAAAATATTTGTTTATTTTATTTTGCTAAGAAATCAAGTAAAACATTTTGAAAACCACGTCATTTAGTTGAAAACCACGGCTAGCCAAGTTTACGTCGTTTCGCATGGTTTTCACTAAACGACCAAAAACGAAAGGTGGTTTTTGAAGCGTTTTTGTTGGAGAACTATTTAAACATGCCCAGAAGTAAAAATCAATCATTAAAAGTTGAAAACCACTTGGTTGATCCGAATGCCAAAAACCAACGCCGATAACCGAAAGCCGAACGCCGGTTTCCAAAGACCGAACGCCGGATGGCTTGGTTTTTGGTTTGGGCGAACTCCAAGTGTTTTTAGGCAGTTTAAAACTTAAGAAAAACATTTTTGAATATGCAAAAAGATGTTTTGATGAGAGAAGCCTAGAGAGCCAAGATTTGAAAGTTTGTGCGGTCTTGATCACATTAAGACCGACTCAATATAATTCTAAGTCTTCGCTCTTGATTCTTGGTTCTTGGTTCTCAGTTCATCATGCCATGTTCCTTCGCCTTGGTTTTGCTCAGTTTAACTTTGTTATTTTCACGGCGGTTTGGCATTATCAAAACCTGTCATAAAACGAACACGACTTAGTACGACATAGGCGTAAACCCGTGTTCCAACAATTTCCCCCTTTTTGATAATGGCAAATAAGACAGGGATATGCATACTAAGGGATATTTGACTTTGAAAAGAGTTGTGAAAAAGTTCCCCCTTAATTTGTGCTTAAAAAACTTGTCATATTAAAATCAAACGATCCCGTTTTTAGAGACGTTCCCCCTTAGTATATGTATAGCCCTTTTCTTCCCCCTTTTGACATTAACAAAAAGATAAAAGATACCTTTTATTTATTAAAATGGGAAATGGAGTACAATGGAAGTGAGAAAAAAAATGACAATAAAAAAAAGATAAGAAATGCTAGGGGCGGCCTAGTCATCGTCTTCCTCCTCTTCGCCTCCAGTTTCTTCGTCGTCGTCGACGTCCATCTCATGCCCATCGATGGCATCGTCGAACTCATCTTCGTCCGGAGAGCTTGACGGGGCGTAGGAGGCATCGTCTTCGTCCTCGTCACCGTACACTTGCCCAAAGAACGTGCCATGGTACGGTGGGGGGACGTAGTTAACGCGTTGAAAGTATGCGTTCATGGCGTACCCTTGGCGTTGGACAGCCTCGTCAAGCCTCTCAAGGTAGCCATCCATCCCGTCAACTTTGAAGTGAAGGCGGTTTAGGGAGTCGGCGATGGAGGCGAGGTTGGCCCGGGCCTGGGGTTCGGCTGGGCCAGCGGCAGTGGCAGTGCGGCGTGGCGCAGCAGTGGCAGGCGCGGCGTTGTCCGACCGCTTGGTGAAGGTTTGGGCGCTGATCGTCCAAAGCTTCGTGGCCTTCGTGAGCGGGCCAACGGTGGTGATTACCTTGAACCGTTCAAGGATGTCCATCACCAAAAACGGGTACGGGAGGAGGTGATCGTGGTCGGTGGACGCGGCGATCGTCATGCATGTTGATCATGACAAACTTCGCCCAATTGATTGGGTCCGAGTGCATGATCGCGTGGACGAGCTTGAGGTCCTCTCCGGACATGATTGTGTGGCCGTGCTTCCGGGGTTTGATGATCCGGGACACGATGTAGAGAACGAGACGGCCTTCGGGGTTAGCGGAGTGGATGGTGGGGCGGCCCGAGGCATGGCGTATGAGTTCGGTGATGCCAAGCTCGTTGAGGATAAGGCCCTCGTTTTTGAGTACCCAGTCCTCTCCGCCATAGTGAGAGACATCGTCGCCTTGGAAGGGAAGGCCGGCGATGCGCCCAAGCTGCTCTACAGTGAGTTCAATCGGCGTGGACTTAACGAGGCTGTAGATGACGTCGTCCTCACGCCGGAGGTTGGAGTAGAAGGCCCGGATCAGCGCCGGGTTGATCTCCTTCCGCGCCCGGGAGACGAACGGCCAAAGGCCGGCTTGATGAAGCTGTGCGTCTAGGTCGTCGTAACCCTGCAACTCCGGGTATCGCTCCGGGATGATTCGCGGGGGAGCCACAACCCATTTAGAGAAGAAGGTGAGGAAACGGGTGCGTTCCTCCTCGGAATCAAACCAGAGGTATGACCCGTCGCCGTAGTAAAGGCGTTCCTCGGAGGATGTCGTGGGCGCCCGGGATTTGGACTTTGATTTCCCGGAGGTTCCTGCTCTGCCCTTATCTTTGCCCATGGTGAAGAAATCTCAAAAGATTAGAGTAGAGAAGATGAAATATGTAGAGATATTGAAGAAATTTGTGTTTGTGTGTGTAAAAGTGAAGAGAGGGGGTCCCAATATATAGAAAAGAGGGTCCCCAACGTCCAGATTTTCAAAAATATGGATGTTGGAGCAATTAATGCAGTTGCAACGGATATTTTTTTTTTGAAAAATTTATCCAGAACAGCGATGTTCCAAAGGCTACATCGCTGTTGGGACAGCGCTGTTGAGCCTCTGGACAGCGCTGGTTTGCGTCAAGTTTTAAAAACAAGTGTTAAATGGACAGCGATGTTGGGAATCCTACAGCGCTGTTCCCAAAGTTTCTAGAAATATGTAAGGGGTTGAACCCATTAGAACAGCGCTGTTGGGTGTCCCTACATCGCTGTTTTACGATAGAGAAAAAATTTGTAAAAATGGACATCGATGTTGAAAGTGAGACATCGCTGTTTGAAAAGTTTCTGGTTTTGGTGGAAAACAAGTTGTGTTGGGTAGACAGGGATGTTTTTGAAAGGAACATCGATGTTCAAAAAGTTTCTGGAAAGTGAAGATTAAGGGACTCCCTGGGACAGCGCTGTTGGCTTGTTGTACAGCGCTGTTGGCACAAACTGGTTGACGGTGTTTCTCTCAACAGCGCTGTTGGGTCTCCTGGACAGCGTTGTTTGCATGGTTCCCCCTGATTTCATGAACGGGGTACCTGCAAAAAAAAGAAAAAGTTCTCCGACGCTCAAGTTAGTAAACGTTTAATAAATTTAGATGCACAACTTAGATCATCGTGGAGTCAAGGATTCCGAGTTCACTTCGAATGCGGAAGAACGACTCTTTCTCTAAAGGTTTTGTGAAAATGTCGGCTAATTGGTTGTGTGTTTCAACAAACTCAATTTCGACATCACCTTTGAGAACATGATCTCTAATGAAATGATGCCTAATGTCAATGTGTTTCGTCCTTGAGTGAAGAACGGGGTTCTTCGTCAAGCTTATGGCGCTAGTATTATCACAACGAAGAGGGACGTGATTGATACTAAGGCCATAGTCCACGAGTTGTTGCTTCATCCAAAGGATTTGAGCACAACAACTACCGGCGGCTACATATTCCGCTTCGGTTGTGGATAACGCAACACTGACTTGTTTCTNAAAAAAGAAAAAGTTCTCCGACGCTCAAGTTAGTAAACGTTTAATAAATTTAGATGCACAACTTAGATCATCGTGGAGTCAAGGATTCCGAGTTCACTTCGAATGCGGAAGAACGACTCTTTCTCTAAAGGTTTTGTGAAAATGTCGGCTAATTGGTTGTGTGTTTCAACAAACTCAATTTCGACATCACCTTTGAGAACATGATCTCTAATGAAATGATGCCTAATGTCAATGTGTTTCGTCCTTGAGTGAAGAACGGGGTTCTTCGTCAAGCTTATGGCGCTAGTATTATCACAACGAAGAGGGACGTGATTGATACTAAGGCCATAGTCCAGGAGTTGTTGCTTCATCCAAAGGATTTGAGCACAACAACTACCGGCGGCTACATATTCCGCTTCGGTTGTGGATAACGCAACAGTGACTTGTTTCTTACTAAACCATGAGACTAGAGAGCTACCAAGTAAGTGGCAAGTCCCACTCGTACTTTTACGGTCTAATTTGCAACCGGCAAAGTCCGAGTCGGAATAACCGACGAGATGACAAGAAGAGCCTTTTGGATACCACAGTCCAACGTTAACCGTGCCGACAAGGTATTTCATGATTCGTTTCACTGTGGTTAAGTGCGATTCCTTCGGACATGATTGATACCTCGCGCAAAGGCATACGCTAAACATGATATCCGGCCTACTAGCAGTAAGATAGAGAAGGGATTCGATCATACCTCGATACTTTTTGAATTCTACTTCCTTACCTTTCTCGTGTTTGTCTAGATGGTCAGACGTGCTCATCGGGGTCGCCATGGCTTTGGCGTTGTCCATTTCAAACCATTTTAGGAGCTCCTTGCAATATTTAGCTTGGCAAATGAATGTGCCATCTTTCATTTGCTTGACTTGGAGTCCCAAAAAGAATGTGAGCTCGCCCATCATTGACATTTCAAATTCGCTAGTCATTAGCGTTGAGAATTCCTTGCACAAAGACTCATTAGTAGCACCGAATATGATATCGTCTACATAAACTTGAACCAAAAGGATGTTATTGTTTTTACTCTTGATAAAAAGTGTGGTTTCTACCTTTCCCCTTTGGAAACCACTATCCAAAAGAAATTTACTCAAATGTTCGTACCAAGCACGGGGTGCTTGTTTAAGACCGTAGAGCGCTTTCTTGAGTTTGAAGACATGATCGGGAAACTCAAAGTCTTCAAACCCCGGGGGCTGGTCAACATACACTTCCTCTTGAATAAAACCATTGAGGAAGGCACTCTTAACATCCATTTGATAAAGTTTAAAATCCTTAGACGAAGCAAAAGCAAGAAGTAAGCGAATAGCTTCTAAACGTGCTACGGGTGCATAGGTTTCCTCAAAATCAATGCCTTCTTCTTGATTGTAGCCTTTAGCTACGAGCCTAGCTTTGTTTCTAGTGATTATTCCATTTTCATCAAGTTTGTTACGGAACACCCATTTCGTACCAATAATCGTACGATCATCGGGCCTTGGCACCAATTCCCTAACGTTATTCCGTTTGAATTGGTTTAGCTCCTCTTGCATAGCCAAGGTCCAATGTTCATCGTTCATTGCTTCGGAAATGATTGTAGGTTCAATTTGAGAAACAAAAGCCATGTGACCTACGGTGTCCCTAAGAGAATTACGAGTACTTACCCCACGGTTGATGCTGCCGATTACCTGGTCAAGTGGATGGTTCTTGTGCGTTCTCCAAGCGATGGGAAGCTCGGTTTCCTCTTGTTCCTGGGCTTCCTCTTGTTCTTCTTCGTCCGCTTGATCCTCATTTTCAACCATCACTTGAGGTGTTTCCTCAGGTTGTGGTTGCGGGTTGGTGTATAATGGTGTGTCTTCCTCATCGTCTTCAATGTGCATTCTTTCAAGTGAGTCTGCAAGATCATCACAAATAGCCTTTCTCGCCAAGCGAGTATTATCTTCGGAAAACACAACATGAGGGGACTCCTCAATGGTCAAAGTACGTTTATTAAACACTCTATAGGCCTTGCTACGAAGTGAGTAACCGAGAAAAATTCCTTCGTCCGACTTGGCATCAAATTTTCCCAAGTTATCTTTGCCGTTATTATGAATAAAACATTTGCAACCAAAGAATCGAAGATGGGAAAGGTTTGGCTTTCTCCCTTTGTATAATTCATAGGGCGTTTTCATGAGTATCGGTCGAATGACGGCTCGGTTTAACACGTAGCTCGCGGTACTCACGGCATCCGCCCAAAAATACTTAGGGATTTTTGCCTCATTGATCATAGTTCTAGCCATCTCTTCGAGACATCTATTTTTACGTTACACCACTCCATTTTGTTGTGGTGTACGTGGGGCTGAGAAGTTATGATCAATGCCAAGTTCGTCACACAAATCTGAAAACAGATTTCGTTCGAACTCTCCCCCATGGTCGCTTCTTATGGCTACTATGGTTGTGTCTTTTGCATTTTGAACTTTCTTTATAAAATTTTTTAAAACATGAAATGCTTCACTTTTATGAGTAAGAAACAAGGTCCATGTAAACCTAGAGTAGTCATCGACAATCACAAATGCAAAGTAGTTGCCACCAAAACTTTTCGTTCTAGAAGGACCAAAGAGATCCATGTGCAAAAGTTGAAGCGGTCTAGACGTTGAAACAACGTTTTTAGACTTAAACGAAGCTCGAACTTGCTTCCCCTTCTGACACGCATCACATATGGTGTCTTTTTCAAACTTAAGTTTTGGAATGCCAATTACTAAGTCTTGTGAAACCAATTTTCTTCAAAAGGTTCATGTTCATATGAGCTACCCTTCGGTGCCATAACCAAGTGTCTTCCTCTTTACTCATGAGGCACTTAGCAACGCCGGAGGGAGATTTGTCTAAGTTAACCATATAAATGTTATCGATTCTATCACCACGTAGAATGACCTTATTGTCACTAAGACGTTCTACCGTGCATGATTTTGAATCGAAGGTCACACGGTTTCCTTTGTCACATAATTGGCTTATGCTCAAGAGATTGTGTTTGAGACCTTTAACAAGCAAGACATTATCTATAGAGGAGTTTTCAGATTTACCTACTGAACCAACGCCAATGATCTTTCCCTTGCTGTTATCTCCAAAAACTACGTTTCCTCCTTTAGCGGGTTTGATTTGGAGAAACTTGGATGCATCCCCGTTCATGTGCTTGGAGCATCCGCTATCAAGGTACCAAAGTACACTTGATGCCTTCAAGCACACCTATGAATCACATCAATGAGTTTTAGGTACCCAATTTACGTTGGGTCCTCGTGTGTTAGGTGTGTGATGGTAGTGTGCTTGATTTTGTGATAGATGCCTATGCCTAGTGTAACAAACGGGAGCAATATGGCCTATCCTATTGCAATAATGGCAAACTACGTTGGGGTTGTACATATGCCTAGGTTCATAATAGTTCGAAGGCTTAACCATTTTGTTCCTATTTTGTGAAAACGATGGTTTTTGGAAATTTTGAAACTGGCCTTTTCTAGGTGCTCTAGCATTATTTCTTCTAATTTGAGAAAATTCATTTTTATGCACAAAAT